TTGGTCAATTGCAGTGACTTTATTTTAATGGGTTTTCAGGCGTGCAGAAAGGGTCTCTTTAGATGGGGCTGTGTCACTAGTCAGCCATCTTTACTGGGGAGTCCGTCACTATGACTGTTTTGTAGATCAGGATGATTCATTCAAATTGTCTCCTCCTCCATTCCTTCATAACAGGGTACATGGTCTGAAAGTACATCCCACCTTCTCTAGTACACTGTACTCAGCAGGTCATTGCTACTTCTCTATTGTCATTAATCTTTTCATCATCATCTGACTCCTCCTAGCACAGTCAGGGCATAACATATTATCTTCTAAGCCTGGGGATGGGAAAACGCAGGCAGGTAACAAGAAGAGAGAAATCATCCTCCTGTGAGTGGCAGGCACCCAGGCCTGACCTGCAGGAAACTGCAGGCATACCCAACCCTTTGTGTCTGCTGAGAGAAGCTGGCCATGGACCACACACCACCTGACACCAGAAGCTTGCATCCAAAAGGTCTCAACAGAAACACAAATGGAACCCAAATTCACAGCCTTAGGCTGAACAGCTCTTGCAGCAATTCTTGCCCATGATGCCAACATGGCTTCCTGCACTGAAATTATCACTTCAACTGTGTTAGTCTCTTCTGCTCTCTCATTCATTGCAAAAGTTTTCTGAAGCCTTGCTGTCTTGGTCACTGCCTTGCATTTCCTTGAACACTGCTGTACTCTGGTCTCTTGTAACATTTCAGGCATATCTTGCTGTTGTTCAGGGTAAGCATGCCCATGGAGCCCCAGATAAAGTTCTATTTTCTTGCCCTTGGTATTCAAACCAAGTTCTTGACACCAGTTCTGTAAAGTGTCCCGACACACCTTATTAATAGGAGGCAAAATGGTCGGAAAGGGAAGGGCCGGTATTTTGCATCTAGCTTTTTGTGGAGCTGTAAATTGTTCATTTGTTTGAAATAGATTACCTTGATTGTATTTCTTAGGCTTCTCCAGTTTGACATCAGAAGTTGAAACACTTGGTTCCATTTGTTCCAAATTTGGGTCATCTTTAACTGGCACCAATGTCAAAATCACACTTTCCTCATCATCTACTTCCTCCTCAAAGAAATTCTTCTTACTGTTATCCAAATTTGAGTCTGACATTTTCAGCAACACCTGTGTTGCCTAGGCTGGTCTTGAATTCTTGGCTGAGCTCCCAGACTCAAGAGATCTCCCTCTGCAGCCTTCGGAGTAGGTGGGACTCTTGTTTCTTTTTTTTTTTGAGACACAGTTTCACTCTGGTTGCCCAGGCTAAAGTGCAGTGGCATGATCTCAACTCACCTCAACTCTGCCTCCTGGGTTCAAGCAATTCTCCTGCCTCAGCCTCCTGAGTAGTTGGGATTACAGGCACCTGCCACCATGCCTGGCTAATTTTGTATTTTTAGTAGAGACAGGGTTTCTCCATGTTGGTCAGGTTGGTCTCGAACTTCCAACCTCAGGTGATCCACCCACCTCGGCCTCCCAAAGTGCTGGGATTATGGGTGGGAGGCATCACGCCTGGCTGAGTGTTGTTTTGTAAAGTTCTGATCCAACATTCAAAGCCTGGGCTCTGGGACCCAGGTGCCTTGGACTTGGTTATGGGTGTCACCAGGCTTCTGCAAAGTCGGAGCCTCACTGGTCTTCAGTCTGAGCAGACATGGTTTGAGAATTCCTGTGAAGCTGCTGTTTCAGAGATGAAACTGAGCGCTGAACACTTTTTTCCTGCTGATGGAAGTGGTTATTGCAAAAGATGAATGTGGCATCTGATAAAAAATGCCTCCCACCTCTTCCCTGGATTACTTTGGGAATTCACTGTCCATGGGTTTCATGCTGCCTCCTTCCTGGAGAGAGGGGCAAATCCCGTGTGCGTTTGGTATTAAAAGTATTTATTAAAGGGCTGCTGCCTGCCATGCACACCAGGTGGAGGGGCCACCTTGGGACTCACCGCAGGGAGCTGTTTTCCTCGCTGTGAAGGTGCAGCTGCTGGTATTTGCCATGTGACCCACCACATCCTCTTGTCTGGGGTTACCTGTACCAGCCTGTGAGGGAGGAGCACCCACCCTTAGGTTAGCCTCCCAGCATGGGCAGCTCAGCCAAGGCAGGGCGGCTTGGCATGTGCTCAGGACAGGGCATTTCTGAGAGGGAGGAGGCTGGGAAGCGGGGAGGCGTGGGCCTGGGCGGCCCTGACGTGACATGTCTGATGTGTGATGTGTGACATATTACAGGCACCTGGAGCAGGGGTACCGGGAAAGGCTGAGCCTCCTGCGGTCTGAGGTGGAGGCGGAGCAAGAGCTGTTCTGGGAGCAGGCCCACAAGCAGAGGGCTATGCTGGAGCAGGACATGGGGCGCCTACAGGCCGAGGAGGCTGGCCTCCGTGAGAAGCTGACCCTAGCCCTGAAGGTAGGGGCATCCCTAGGGCACCCAGGAAGTTGGAGGGAGCCTGAGCATCTCCCACACCCATGTCCTCCTTGTTGAGGATCCAGATCCACACCTGCCAGTGGCCTCAAGCTTATGTTTCAGGATGAGCCGAGGCAGCACCTGCCACAGTGAGGAGGTGTCCCGCTCGCCACAGAGCAGAAGGGGTCCTGGCTTGTGAGCAGGACATTGCCCCTCCCTCCCCCCACTTCCACTCTCTGCTCTGGGCCAGCACCCACAGCCAGCACTGCTGCACCCCCAGAAACCAGGAACACCCAAAGGGACAGCAAAAAGACCAGAACCTAAAGCCCAGCCTGCCTAAGGCTGGGTTTGTGGCCCGGAGCTTTTGGGGTTTGTTAGAGTTTGTCGGGCTTTGGTGAATGTGTCACACCTGTCCCCCGACATTGGCTCCAGTGAGGCATTGCAGCGGGAAAGAGGTGCTGGCCCTTGCTGTACTGGTCCCTGCCCTGCTCCTGCCTCCATCCTCCTCTCCTAACTCCCCACACCTGCCCCACCTCTCGGAAGGAGGGGCTGGGCAGTCCCTGAGCTCCCAACAGCCTTGCTCTCCACCCTTCTCACCATGGTCCCCACCATCTGCAGATGCTGCCTCCTCCCCCGGCAGCCGTCTGAGCTGTCCTGATGCAATGTCAGATCCCTCGTTTAGGAATGGCTCTGGAAGGATGCCCTTTTTGTAATACTGTTGCAATGCTTTTGTATTCCCTGCCCTTTCTTGTGTGACTCGTGGCCCTTCTGAGCACAGGGTAAGGGAGGGGACAAGAGACATGAAGATGCACCTTGCCTGCGAGGGGGTTTCTTCCCTGATGCCCAGTGCCATGGGGAGCAAGCCTCTCACCTCCATCCTGCACACATCCCCTCCATCCCGCAGGAGCCTGATGAGCCACTGGCCTGTGTCTCCTAGGAAAACAGTCGCCTGCAGAAGGAGATTGTGGAAGTGGTGGAAAAGCTTTCAGATTCGGAGAGGCTATCCCTGAAGCTGCAGAAGGACCTGGAGTTTGTCCTGAAGGACAAGGCTAGTCCCTTTGCTGACAGCACACCTCCAGAGGGAGGACCTGCTGGGCACAGAGTGGGGGTGACAGGGAAGAGACCAGCAGGTGACAGTTTGGTATTCTCCTAAAATCTAGAATGAAGAGAAAGTCAGTGCGAGGCCTTCCCTCTGCTTCCTCTGCATGACAGTATGGGGCGCCTTCTGCCCCCAAAGTACCAGTGGTCACTAGTGACAGCCTCAGTGGTGGGGAGCGCGGAGGGAAGGCAGGCCCCTGCCTGTCACCTCGGGAGGAGGACGGGGAGAGGGGCTGCTCAGGGCCAGGGTCTGGGCTCCAGGGATGAGTGCGGCCACCTTAGATAAATCTGGAAAATCCTTCTGCCCTGTGACCTTCTAGACCAGGGAGTAGGGAGGAGAAGGGATGGCGGCTGCACCTGGAAATGCAGCACCTAGTATAGGGGGAGCTGGGCAGGTTCTTGGAGCCCAGGGGCTGGAAGAGTGGGTCCCCCTGGCCCAAGGCCCACCCGTCACTTCCTGCATGTCTGAATTTCAGCTGGAGCCACAGAGTGCAGAGCTCCTGGCCCAGGAGGAGCGGTTCACAGCGGTCCTGAAGGAATACGAACTCAAGTGCCGGGTACGCACCCTGTTCCTTCTGCCTTGTAGTCCGGCGTCTAGGCTCTGGGTCTCCGTGTCCAGGTAGTCCGCAGGCACGAAGGAGTGTCTGCTGCAGGCAGAGCCTCTGCTTGCGGCCGTGCTTGACCATGGCCTTGCCACATTCCTAGACTTAGGGTTCCCTGGCTCTCGTTGCCACCTGTCCTGAAGGCCACTCCTGTGTGTCCAGGCACCATGCGGGGTGTTGTCATCTTCTGTTGGTCATGTTTAGCTTTCCTGGGCCAAGCCTGCAATGCGTGTCCATCTGTCAGTTGGAGACACTGGAGTGCAGGGCACAATGGATGCGGTGAATGAAACTTAAACCCCAGAGGACTCCTGTACACCCTTAACATTCTCAAGGACCCCAAAGAGCTTTTGTTGATGTGGATTAAATTTAATATTTGCCATAGTAAAAATTAAAGTGGAAATCCTTTTAATTTATTAATTTATTTAAGAAAAACATTGTAATAGGCCAGGCGTGGTGGCTCACACCTGTAATCTCAGCACTTTGCATGCCAAGGCGAGTGGATCATGAGGTCAGGAGTTCGAGACCAGCCAGGTCGACATAGTGAAACCCTGCCTCTACTACAAATACAAAAATTAGCCAGGCATGGTGGCACATACCTGTAGTCTCAGCTACTCGGGAGGCTGAGACAGGAGAATGGCTTGAACCCAGGAGGTGGAAGTTGTGGTGAGCCAAGGTCGCGCCACTGTACTCTACTCTAGGAACAGAGCCGGACTCTGTCTCAAAACATAATAATAATAATAATATTGTAATAACAGGTTAACATAACTAGCCTATTTTGGGGAACATAGTTGTTTTCCAGAGGAAAGAAAACTAGCGAGGCATGTGCTGTGGTGTTGCGTTCTCACCAGCCTCCTCACTGGCCATCCCAGCAGAGGATGGGGTACTCATACCTGCTGCTGCGTCGGTCACTCACGATATCACATGACGCAGAGCATCTGAACTGCCACATGCCCCAAAAGAGAATGAGCGCAAGGAAGCCACCTCACACCTTGGCGTGCCACACATCCCCCTGCCCCGCTGGGCCACATGTGGGCTGCCGGGAGGCCCGGATGCCCACCTTCACAGCCTGTGTGTCTGGTTCTGTAGGACACAGAATGACCGACTGTCAGGTTCACAGCCTGGGGTTGGACCACCACCCTCCTTGGCACATTTTAAATGCAAGCTGCTAGGTTTTGGGGTATTCCGAAGCTTCCCCTCCTTCCCCTTCCTGCTCACCTGAGCACGCAGAGACTATAAAATATTTTAAAGCTCAGGTGTGTCCCTAGATCTGCAAGAGTGGTCTGTGAGGAAAGCTGGCTCCAGTGCCTTGAAGGCCACCTTGCAGATGAGCCGATGGCCGGCCCAGCCAGCTCCCCGTGGGCTTGCAGATGAGCCGATGGCCGGCCCAGCCAGCTCCCCGTGGGCTTGCAGATGAGCCGATGGCCGGCCCAGCCAGCTCCCCTTGGGTCTCACCCCACCGTGCTCTGGCCTGCAGGACCAATCCTCTTAAAGAAAATTCTGTGTAGAAAAAAAAAAACGAGTTGAGTTTGGTTGATTATTAGCAATACAGAAAAGTTATTTTCTCTATAAACTCATTCACCGCATGGTTCTTTCATAGGCAGCTCCTGGTTAGGTTTTAATTTACCAAAAGTTAATTTATGCAAAACTTATATAGAAACATTTTTTCCCACTATCAAAAACCCCAGTCCTTGACCCACCTGCCCCTCTTACTTCCTGGCATACAGAGGGTTAGGTCCGAACAAGTTATAGCAATAGACACTGGACCCAGCCGAGCGCTCAGCATTGGGAACGGCTGGGCATGTTATGACTGCTTTTCTAACAGAACCTTGTATAGCATTGAAAACAACATGGAAGTGGATGACTTTAGACGTGGAATTCTCTCCAGGCAGCGTTGCCAGGTGAACAGAGATAAGTCACATGCATCCACAAATAACAGCCATTTAAGACCCTGTATAATCCTCCCACCCAGCAAAAATGAGAAAAATAATCTAAAGGTATCAGTAGAGCTTGCTTACTGTTCACTCATTCATTTCTCCTGCAAGTTAGCTTTGATAATAATTTTAATAAACATTTTCGAGTTGGGCAACCATAGTTTATAACTATGTGAATGTGTGATGATCTGAAACTGACTTAATTTCACCCGCTGGATACCTCGGGTGGTGATGCCACAGCACAATTGGTTTTAGTTACAGCTCGTTCTTTCCATGTGTGAGTCACCTCAGGCCACATCACCTCGTGTGGAAAATCCATGATTGTTTCTGGGGATACTGTGATGGTCATTGTTAAGTGACCAATCAGTGTGAAGTAACTTCACATGATTTGAAAGTTGAGCAGGTATTATGGGGAGAATAGCTGTCCATGAAGCTGGTAATTAATTCTTGGGCTTCCCTATAGCCAGAGAACCAGATAAAGCATTATTGTTCTATTTTAAGGATCTATTCTCAATTCACTCTGAATGATTCCCCCCCATGTAAAGTGACGTTGACTTAGTCCCTGCCGCACATTGCTTTGCAATCCCAGAGGATTGAGGTGAGCCCAAGCTTGCGTTCTCCGTGGCTGTGCTTCTGAACCCTTCCTGTCGTGGTTTGCCTCCATCTGGGCGCCCTCCTGTCGTTCCCTGCACATCTCATTCTCCTTTTGAGAATCCTGTGTGGTGAGGGGCGTCGCCTTCCTTCTGACGTGGCTGGTGTGTGTGGGGTTGGTGGGGCCTGCTGTGCGGGTGGGGTCCAGACAGTGCACTGCTGGGACTGCAGCTGCATGTGGACTGCTGAATTCCTCCTCTTGTAGCTGCTGGAGCGGACTCAGAACCTAGAGACTACCTTCCATTAATAGGTTCCTCTAGTGCCCTGGATTTTTCAAATTTAAATCCCTTCTTTCTGTAACATGATTCTGTTACTGAAAGACATGCTATTTTCATCTGGGGTTCTTTCAATTTTATTTTTTGAAACAGCAGAGATAGTTTTTGTTTAAGTCCTAACCTACTTATTATTTCCCCTTTCCTTTTCTTGGATATTTGTTGTCTGTTTCAAACTAACATCTAGAGCATTTAAGAAACTTTTTATATGAAAACAATTTCAAGCTTTCATAGTTATAACAAAAGTAGTGCATAGAACACCTGTCTGTGTACCCTTTACCCGTGTGCACCTGTTCACACTTCACCCCATTGGCTCTGTCTTCACATACTTGCTCACTGATGTGTGTTGATGTAGATGTGAATGTGTAGACATCGTTATTTCTGAACCATAGTTTCAAATAATCAAAAGGAAACATCAGCAAACCACAATATGAGACCATTTCTATGAAAAATGGGCAGGAAGAACAGTGTTCTTCAAAATTATCAATGTCATAAAAGACAAAGGCTGTGGGAGTGTCTCAGAGTCAGGGACATTAAAGGAACAGGACAACTAAAGGCAACACCTGGCCCTGGACCTGAGGGCAGAGATTTCCCACAGAATACTGGAGAATCCACTGAGAAAAGGAGAAAATGCTGTGATCTTCATGACGTCCAGGTTTTATTTACTAAACCTCCTAAAGCCTGGTTCATAATGGATTTTTCCAAAAATAACATTTGATTTAATAAAAATTAAGACCCACTGATCAAAAGACACAAATGGGAGTAAATGTTTGTGAATTATATGTTTTTATATATTCTGGATCCAAGTATATATAAAAACTCTCCAAATATGAAATTACATAACCTAATAAGAAAAAGATGGGTAAGTACCCATAAAGTTGCTAGACATCATGATTTTTAGATAATATCTGTCTAGATAGTTGTGGGTTGGATAAGCACATCCTCACCCTTCACGGCCCAGCGCTTGTGTGCACGTCCTAAGAAACGCTTCCGCTGGCAGTGCTGTGCAGCTTCCTGCTCCCGCAGGTGATCATGCAGTGTTCAAGGATTTTGTAGGTTGCTTATTAAGCCCTTGGTGGGCTTCAAATTGACACAGGCTTTAAACCACAGAAATCTCAGAAGCCACAAGCAAGAGCTTTTATTTCCTGGAGAGTAAGTTCCCCAACACCCAACTGAATAAGAATATTGTCTCCATGACGGAGGCACGCTTGTTAGCTTCATGAACTGCCATCGAAGCAACACGTTACCTGCTGGCTGAGCTGCTTTCCTCAACCTGGCATCCACCCAGGGCCAGGCTGTTTCTTTAATGTCCTTTACTCTGACTCATTTCCTTTCTTTGTCTTTATGACATTGGTATTTTTGAGGAATGCCGTCCTCCTCGCTTTTTCATAGCAGCATTGTCGTTTTGTGTGTTTCTCGTGTTTTCTGTGCACAGCACTGAGGCTGTGTGTCCTCGGCTGGTACAGCATGTGGGCGATGTGTCCGGCTCACCGATGTTGCTTCTGATCTCCTGGCCAAGGTGTCACTGGTTTCACTGCTCTGTAATCACCACTTTTTCTCCCTTGCAACTATTAATAATACACAGTCAGTGGAGAAACACTTTGAGACCACGCAAATATCCTGCCTTCAACAGAATTTTCCCTGGATTTAGCATCATTGGTGATTCTTGCCCAATTCAGCCTTTATTATGATGGTTGGAAAATGATTTTCCTGCTTAGCAGCCCCTCCACACCTGTCCATGCTGGTGGCATTGTATTCAAGCTGGAGAAGTCCTATTTGTTCAGATCTAGTCATACATGTACCTGTCACTGGTAATGGACTCATGAATTCCCATTTCCCCCCAATGGTTTTTAATTAGTTTGGTGACCAAACTGTGCAAGATTTAGCAAGTGAGAATCCTCGACTGCCTGCTGTGCTGTGGCATGCCCTGCAGTGTTGGCTTCTGCCTTGCTTTGTTGAATGTTTCCACACTTGCTGGCATGAGATGCCCCAGGCTCATCTTGCACTTTGCCTGTACCTGCCCTGGAATCTGCCATTTATTCAAGAAGTCCTGGTTCCTTTCCTGAGGGAATGGTTTTAGAGACAGGATCTGGATGCCTGGCATGCTCCTTGCTCCTGCGTCTTGGCTGAGGGCATCTTTCTGGCCAGTCTGGATTCCAGAAGGATCACCCGGAAAGGATCACCCTGAGCCCTGCCCACTGTGTGTCACCTCGTCTCTGCAAACTCACTACTGGGGTTTCTTTGTATTTTGTAACAAGGATATTGGTGTCTTTTAAAACATTTTTTTTCTTTCAACTTTTATTTTAGATTTGGGGCTACATGTGCATGTTTGTTACCTGGGTATGTTGCATGATGGGCCGTGTGGGCTGGGGCCTCCCTTCTTCTCCATCTGGGCCTCTCCGGGTGGCCTCCTCACAGCATGCTGGTGGCAGCTGCTCCACAGCAAATGTTCCAGCAGAAGTGGGTGGATGTCGTGTTCTTGAAGGTCCCGTGGCATCACTTCTGCTGCCCTCTAGGTCAGAACAGTCAAGTCCCACTCAAGTTGCAGGGCTGGGCGCCCAGGCCCCAGCCACATGTGAATGGTGCAGCATGCACAGCCTGGTTTGTGTCTACTTCCTGAAGGTCCCCAGGACCCTAGGAGGTGTCTAAGAAAGTGGGCTAGAAACTCTGCCTTTCCTATCCCTTTGAAGAGCAAGTGATTGAGCATACTGGTTAGGACGTAGTTCATTAAAGTGGGAGCAGAATTCAGCTGGCCACAAATGCAGACGCCTCCTCTGAAGCTTCCACCCCCACCCTACTATAGGTGTCCTGGCCTTCCTGTCAGCCACGCGGCCTCTGCCTGCTCCAGTATCTGCTTTCCATCATCATCCTTTCTTTCTGACATGTTCTCTGCTTTGCGGCATATGACCTGAAGCACATGGTTTCTTCTTTGGTAGTCAAAGCTGCGGAACCCTTTGCAAATTCAGCAGCAGCTGAGGAAGGAATCCTTACCCAGGCCTGACATGCACACTGCAACACCACTGAGGTTCCAACAAAGACCTGTAGCTTCTGATGGTGACAGTACTCTGCATTCTTTTTGTTTTGTTTTGTTTTGTTTTGTTTTGTTTTCTTGAGATGGGAGTTTCACTCTTGTTGCCCATGCTGGAGTGCAATGGTGTGATCTCGGCTCACTGCAATCTCTGCCTCCCGGGTCCAAGTGATTATCCTGCCTCAGCCTCCCAAATAGCTGGGATTACAGGTGCATGCCACCACACCCAGCTGATTCTTATATTTTTAGTAGAGACAGGGTTTCACCATGTTGGCTAGGCTGGCCTCAAACTCCTGACCTCAGGTGATCCTCCCATCTCAGCCTCTCAGAGTGCTGGGATTATGAACCACCTTGCCCAGCCATACTCTGCATTTTCTACATTTCTCCTTAGTAGCCGCCCCACTTTTTTCTTTGAGCACCTCCCATATATCCAGTGATAGAAAGTAATGAGGGGCTAGGCATAGTGGCTCACACCTGTAATTCCAGCACTTTGGGAGACTGAGGCGGGCAGATCACTTGAGGCCAGGAGTTTGAGACCAGCCTGGCCAACATGGTAAAACCTCATCTGTATGAAAAATACAAAAATAAATAAGTAAATTAGCCAGGTGTAGTGATGCACACCTGTAACCCAGCTACTTGGGAGGCTGAGGCAAGAGAATCACTTGAACCTGGGAGGAGGAGGCTGCAGTGAGCTGAGATTCCACCACTGCACTCCACCCTGGGCAACAGAGCAAGACTGTCTCTAAATAAATAAAGAAAGTAAAAATAAAAAAAATTTAAAGTGATGTAGGGCATGAGAAAGTCGAGAAAGGACCCTTGTGTTTGCTTAGCCCACAATGTAGTTAGGGACTTTAAATCCAGATGGTTTCCTGCTGGGAGCTGGGAAGCAATAGGCTCCCACCTCACAGTGCACCTCACCTTCAGGGGACCCTCCTGGAGGCCAGCTCAACTGTCTCACTTGGCTGAATGGCTGCAGCTGCTAGAGGAGGTGTCTGGCTCTTTCCCCACAGGACCTGCAGGACCGCAACGATGAACTGCAAGCTGAGCTGGAAGGCCTGCGGACGCAGCTGCCTGAGAGCCGGCACAGCCCCTCAAGGGGCCCAGGTGGGCGTGGACGGCAGCTCTCTGGACTCAGCCCAGCAGGTAGGAGCCTGCCCCTGGGAGGGAGCTGACCCAAGGCCTGCTATTGACACCAAGGCCCAGAGCCAGGAGAGGGGGGCGGAGATGATGAAGATGATGATAGTGCTGTGACCCGAAGAGAGGTGGTCTGCTCTGCAGGGACTTTGAAAGGAGGATCCAGTGATGCCATAGGGCAACCCTGCAATACGGAAGGTCACCTGAAGAGGGAGGAGGAAGGGAGGCTGAGGGTGGGCAGCCCCAGGTCTGGCCCAGGCTGTTCCCACATCTGAGAGCTGTTCTCAGTGGCACAATACTTGCTGAGACTCAGAAGAACCAAGTCCTGGTGAATCTGCTGGGGCCTCCCAGTACTCAGGCCTGTTCGGACAGAAGCTGGTGAGCTTGCCCTTGCTGCTTCTGGGGTGATGTGGTAGCTGGCACCCCGCAAGTCTGAATGAGGCAGGGAGACACCAGGCACCCAGGGAGCGGTCCTGCCTGGCCAAGTGCCCCTGTGCTCCCAGCTTATGGGGTTGGGACAAGCTCCAAGCACCCAGAGGCCCCAGAACCCACATTGAAGTGTCTGGCTCCTCTGGAGAGAGAATGGGGATCCAGGTGCTGCAGCCACCCTTGAGGTCTGCAGTGCCCCTTTTGGAGGATGGGGTGGCCTCTGACCACCCAACAGCAGCATACGATGCACATGGCTCTGTGTCCATTGCTGTGACAGGGGCCCATGGGGACCCAGCAGCCCCACTGTCTCCCCTCGCTCCCCTGTCATGCCAACCTCAGCCCCTCAGAGATTTTGCTGCCATCTGTAACCCTGGGAGAACCTCAAGAGCTCTCCTGTTGCCCTGAAACTGTTGACGCAATAGAACAGAAAAAAAATGTGTTGCCAAAAGAGCCAATATGAGAACCTCTTAGGGGAGCCTAGTGGGGCTTTTGTGCATGTGGGGCCAACCTCCTGGGACACCTAAGGCAGCCCCTCCCCTGCTGGTTCCTGGATTGGAGTCAGGCTCCCAAGGCACAGCCCCAACAGCTCACACGCCCTCGGGAAGCTGCAAGGAGGAACAAGACCCTGTCGGCCACACATCTGGGAAACACACATGTCCCTGCACCCAGGGTGGTGCCTGTGGGTCTGTAACCCCATTGATGTCCCACCTGGACATCGCTAGCCATCACACCTCCCTGCCTGTCAGCCTCAGAGCCCTAATTCCAGCAAGGGTTAGTGTGCTAGACTTGCCTGGGAATCCAGCATCGTTTGTGTAATGCAATAATGAGTAGCGTAGGGCCACCAAGAAAAGGCGGAAGCTGCAATGCGTAGAATGGATAGATCACCTTCATGCACATAGCTGTGGTCATCTGCACATCATCTAAAGCTCTGTACTGCTGGGGATCTGCTGTGCCACAGGCCACCCTGTCCTCCCATTTCCTCCATGTCCCTGGCATCTTCAGGGAACAGGATTTAGGGTATTGTAAATGTACTTATGGCACAAAACTCTTAGGAAATAAAGGGGCCTCTGAGAAGCTTGTGGGGAGTCACCTCGTCTCACCTCTGAGTGTTCCGGTAAATAATGGAATGCTGTGTACTGAGGAGTGCTGACTTTCAGAATGCGGGGGCATCCTCACAGCCAGCACTGCCTGCGCCTCACAGATGCCACCCAGATATCAGATTGGGGGGTTTGGAAGGGGCCCCCATAGCATCCTCAGTGCGACAAACAGAAGTGTCCTCTTGTTTGCATGCATTTCGTTCCTGGGTAATTCTCCAGTGAGTATAGAAACAGAGCTGATGGTGGAGCAAGTGAAAGAGCATTACCAAGACCTCAGGACCCAGCTGGAGACCAAGGTGAGGGGAGCGTGGGGCTGTGGGGTCCCAGGGGAGCAGCTGCCGTATGTCAGGCAGCTTTACTCAACCACACTGATATTTCCACGGGTGTCTGCCCTGGAATCCTCTGTCTCATTGTGAGCCCTTTTGGTGAGGAAAGTTTGTAGGGAAATGCAAATAAAACTGACATGCTGCCCAGACCCTCTTTGGAAAGACATAGGACATAGGCTGACTGACAGGGAGGGAATGGTGTGATGATCTGGGGTGTCACAAGGGGACACCTGAGGCAGTGCTGTGGCCAGCCTCCTTGCCAGTCTGCAGGTGGGAATCAGTTACTGGCTGTGCTCCAAGCCTGAGCTACCTGGCATTTGCCCTCTGGTTAGCTCAGTGGCTTTGTGGCCAGGAACGCCCCGGATGAAGCTGTCAGGATGAACTTAGCCCTGTTCTGTTCTTTTTTTTTTTTTGAGACGGAGTTTCGCTCTTGTTACCCAGGCTGGAGTGCAATGGCGCGATCTCGGCTCACCGCAACCTCCGCCTCCTGGGTTCAAGCAATTCTCCTGCCTCAGCCTCCTGAGTAGCTGGGACTACAGGTGCATGCCACCATGCCCAGAATTTTTGTATTTTTAGTAGAGACGGGGCTTCACCTTGTTGACCAGGATGGTCTCGATCTCTTGACCTCATGATCCATCCGCCTCGGCCTCCCAAAGTGCTGGGATTACAGGCGTGAGCCACTGCGCCCGGCCAGCCCGGTTCTGTTCTTAGACTGTGGTGGCTTTTGAGGAACAGCGTCCACGCTACTCCTCCGTCTGAGTAGTGGCTAGATGGAGTTGCCTCTGTCCTGTGGCCATGCCCTGGGGTTCCCCGAAGAATTAACCAGAAGCTCTATTAAGCCCTGCCCACCCATGGCTGGATGGTATTCCTTCCACCGAGGGTCCCCCGGCCATTCAGAGCCACCCCGAGGTCCTGTAAAGGTTCTATCCTCTGCGTCCCTTCAGTGCTTGGCCAGATGCTCCAGTGAGCCCCGAGCTTCCTGTCCCCGCCTGCTACCCTGCCTCAGGGGGAATGGGTGACTTGCGCCACACTGGGCCCTGGGGAGCACCAGCGGCGTTCCTGTCACTGTCCCATTCCACATACCCTGGCACCTTGGCGGGCCAGGACTCCGGTTTTTGCACGTTGTGCAAAGCTTTGTGTTTCTGTGTTGTGTCAGCAGCTAGGTCATTTTTCACAGCCTCCTGGTCCATGCTGCTTATGTTTCTCATTTTAGGTAAATTACTATGAAAGGGAAATTGCAGCACTGAAAAGGAACTTTGAGAAGGAGAGGAAGGACATGGAGCAGGCTTGCAGGCGCGAGGTCAGCGTGCTGGAGGGTCAGAAGGCCGACCTGGAGGAGCTCAACGAGAAGTCTCAGGAGGTCATCCAGGGCCTGCAGGAGCAGCTGCAGGATGCAGCCCGTAGCCCCAGGCTTGCGTGGATGGGGCTGGCACCCTGCTGCACACAGGCACCGTGTGGCCTGGCCCTGCGGCATCAGAGCCACCTGCGGCAGATCAGGTGTGGCCGGCTTCTTTCGGGATTTCAAGTCTGGGGTTTCTTGCCAAGAACCAAAATTTGAAATTAGACTTAGGAAACAACTCAGAATTGCTGTGCCTCCTGACTGGGTGATTTTCCTCTGGGCAGATGGGCGAGTCCCAAAAGAATAGGTCCTGGCATGAGGATTCCAGCTCTAAATTTAAAGTACGCATTGGAGCATGGTCCGTGAAGCTGTTGACTGTGTAGGAACAGCCTAGTGCTCTGTATCCTCTGCCTCAGCCGTGCCTGGCAACAGCATCGCCTCCCTCGCTCAGAACTGCCCACTTCTCCAGGGCCAGGCAGGGTAGCATGCGGGAAGACAGGGAAAGGCCAGAAACCCTGAAAATGGGAAAGATTGCCAGGGGCGTTAGTGAGATTACCAAAAAGGCTCTAGTGTGCAAGCAAGAGATAAGGCTTACGGAAAGCCCACGCTGGTGTTTTGTGTGTTCTGGTGTGAGCTACATAGAAAGTGACCATGTATGTTCTTGTTGGGGGCATCTGAGGTGGGAGAGGAAGTGCCTGGTCATTGCAGACAGGCTGCTGCTCAGCCGGCACCCACTGTCCTGTGGAGAGCATTGGCCCCAGCTTAGAAGAGGATGGGCCCTTCTGCCTTTGGCCAGGCGCAATGGCTCATGCGTGTAATCCTAGCACTCTGGGAGGCCGAGGTAGGTGGTCTGCTTGAGCTCAGAAGTTCAAGACCAGCCTGGCCAACATGGCAAAACCCTATCTCTACTAAAAATACAAAAAATTAGCTGGGCATGGTAGTGGGCACCTGTAATCCCAGCTACTTGGGAGGCTGAGGCAGGAGAATTGCTTGAATCCTAGAGGTGGAGGTTGCAGTGAGCCAAGATTACGCCATTGCACTCCAGCCTGGGTCACAGAGTGAGACTCTGTCTCAAAAAAAAACATCATCTGGCCAGGCATGGTGGCTCACGCCTGTAATCCCAGCACTTTGGGAGGCCGAGGCGGGTGGCTCACGAGGTCAAGGGATTAAAACCATCCTGGCCAACATGGTGAAACCCCGTCTCTACTAAAAATACAAAAAATTAGCTGGGTGTGGTGGCGCATGCCTGTAGTCCCAGCTACTCGGGAGGCCGAGACAGGAGAATTGCTTGAACCTGGGAGGCAGAGGCTGCAGTGAGCCAAGGTCGTGCCACTGCACTCCAGCATGGCGCCTGGTGACAGAGTGAGACTCTCTCAAAAAAATAAATAAATAAAACACGTCATCTTTCCATCCTGTGCCTCTCCAGGCTTTCAGCTGTTTCCCCTTTAAACCAAGAGCATGTATGGTAAGGTACGTGGTCAGAGTCCCTGTAGACCCCACTGGGGACAGAGGGGCAGGCACAGGCAGCCCCCTCCTCTCAGATCCAGGCCATTGTGCACCTGGTCCTCACCCAGAGCTGTCCACTGGGAGGTCTCTGGCTGCTTGCTTCTGGGGAGCCGCTGTCCCTGCTCTGCCCGGCTCCCGATCTGCCAACTCGTGGAGGTGGAGCATCCTCTGACCACTTCCTTGCTCCCCCTGCCCTGGCCAGGCACGGACCATATGCCCCTTCGGGAGTTGTGCTCTTGCCCGCCCTCACATCACTTCCACAGGACTCTCCCGTGGACCACCAGAGGTCCCAAGGCCCACAGCTTTAGGGATTTGGGGCAGTTTTGGCTGTGGGTGTCCAGCGTGATCCAGCAGCACCCACTGCAGTGTGGGCCACGTCCTGTGTCTGCCCTGTGCAGTTAGGTGCCTGCCAAGGACTTAGAACGCAGCCTGCACTGCCAAGGGGCTGCTCCTAGGTCCTGCTTGGTGGCAGTCATCTTACATATGAACAGTCCAGAGGGAAAGGGCTTGCGCTTGGGCTTCCATGTGCAGAACCTCGCCCTGTGGTGCGGATCCTCTCTGGACTCCAAGGAGGGCCTCGGGTGTGGAATGAAGCTGGGGCTGAGGGAGGCGATGAGGGATAAAGCAAGCCAGCCATGAAAGGAGGTCAGGGCCATTGCAGCAGCTGGGCAGACTTTTCTAACCGAGAGGGGCTGGGGGTGGCAGGGCTATGGTGTGTGACAGTTCCATTTCCGCAGGAGAGAGGCGGAGGCGGAGATGAGTGGAGAGCCGTCGCGGCTAGGAGCCCTGCCTGCCTGCGAGGACCTGACCCTGGGGCTGGAGGAACCACCGCAGGGATTCCTGCCGCGCTGGAGCCGGAGGCCGGAGCAGCTGGAGCTGAAGAGGCCACAGTGGGTGGAGCGGGGACCACCAAAGCCGCAGTCCCGTGCGAGCAGAGAGCATGCCCAGATGTGCGCATCGTTGGCCCTCGAGGAGGACGGGTGGGAGCTCGCCCGCGTGAAGCGAGCGGACAGGCCCCCCCGAGAAGCAGAGATGCCGTGGGCCCTGCCGAAAGATGGGCTGGTGGCAGGAAGAGGCCGGGAGGGCGCACACGGCCCTCCGCCATTGTGTCCGCGCTGCGGGGAGTGGCTACTGGCCTGGCCGGCCACAGGCAATGGCGGAGGGTCCGGGGAGGCGGCAGGAGCCGGGCCTGGCCGCAGGCAAGACCAGGACAAAGACGCTGTGCAGAGTCCGGCCTCCGCCCCCGCCCCAGCATCCCACAGGCCCTCAGACAAGTCTCCCGTGCAGCCCCGTGGAGTGGATGGGGGGACTGTCCCAGAGGAGCCAGAGCCTTTCTGTACCGGCACAGCAGGCCTGGAGCAGCCTGGAGCACAGGAGCTGCCTCTGCTGGGGACAGAGGGAAACGCCTTGCCTGCCCAGCCAGGGATGTGGGAGCCACCCCTGAACCTGGCCGCCTTGTGCAGGGGACAGGCTGAGAGCCCACAGGCCGTTCAGGAAGAACCTGCGCGGAGCTGGAGCAGGGTGCGCCCAGTGGGGAGCCAGGGGCAGGCCTCGGAGGGGCAGGCCAGGGCCGAGGGCGCCCTGGAGCCTGGGTGCCACCAGCACAGAATGGAGGTCACCAGGAGAAGGTCTTCGCCATCCCCCTTCCAGCTCACAGACCCGCGGGGCACTGGACAGGAGCCCCTTGCTGTCCCAGGAGAGAAGGAGGCCGAAATAGCGCTGGAGAGAGAGGTTGACATGGAAACCAAACCTCTACATCTGGAGGAAGTCGTCCGGGCTCTGGAGAAACACGAGAACGATAGGTTTGGTTTCTGCTCATTCTTAAAATGCAGAATTAACCCACTGACCACTGTTGTTAATGGTGCTGCCTGGCCCTTCCTGCCAACAAGCTCTCACCTCTGACGAGGGGTGGCTGTGTAGCCCTCCAGCCTGGGTAGGGGTCGTTAGCCCAGCCCTGTCCCGGAATCCCACGGTCACCAGGTGCTCTGAGTGAGCAGAGGGAGGCAGGATGGCCTTGGCCTTTCGGGGCAGCCCAGCCGGCCCTGTGTCCCCACCTTTTGGTCTTAGGAAGTTCTTGCTTCTTTCTTTTCTTTTCTTTTCTTTTTTTTTTAAAGACAGAGTCTTGCACTGTCACCCCTGCTGGAGTACAGTGGTGCAATCTCGGCTCATTGTAACCTCTGCCTCTCTGGTTCAAGAGATTCTTGTACCTCAGCCTCTCAAGTAGCTGGGATTACAGGCGCCTGTCACTGCGGTTGGCTAACTTTTGTATTTTTAGTAGAGATGAGGTTTCACCATGTTAACCAGGCTGGTCTTGATCTCCTGACCTCATGAACCACCTACCTCATCTCCCAAAGTGCTGGAATTACAGGTGTGAGCCACTGCCCGGCGCTTGCTTCCAAAACTTTTTCATTGTTGTTCCCAGCAGAAGCTGTATACCCATTAAACAGTAACTTGCTGGTATTTTGTTGAGGATTTTAGCATCAGTTTTTGCATCATGAGGGACTGGTCTGCAGTTTTCCTTTGTTGATCTGTAGTGTCCTTGTTTGGCTTTGGTATCAAGTAATGCTGACTTCCTAGAATGAGTTTAGAAGTGTTCCATCCTTTTCAATTCTTGGGGAAGAGTTTGAGAAGAGGTGGTGGAGGTTTTTATTTAAGTGTTTGGTAGAATTCACTGTGAAGCCATCAGCTCCTGGGCTTTGCTATGAGGTTTTTGGGTTTTTGGTTTTTTTTTTTTTTTTTTTTCC